GAGGGGAACGGTGAAACAGAGACTGGACCCTCCAGCAGAGTGGCTTCGTGTGGGGCATAGGGTGAAGCATAGAGCAAGTTTCAGACTTCATCAGTCCCGGGGAAGGCCAGCCCAGCCCAGAAGATTCTTCTACAACTAACGTGTGTATTTCTCACTATTACCCCATGAACTTTGCCCTCCTCCAATGCTCACTAGCTCAGTAAATGGCCCTTGAGTTGAGCAAAACAGAACTATAAGACATATAGATATGTTATCCTTGGCATTCCTCTCTCTTGCTCAATGCCATTCCCAATCCATCCCCAGCTCCTGTCAATTTTACCTTCAAAACCTTTCTACTAGACCGACGTTTCTCCATCCCCATGCCGAGAGCCCTCATCCAAACCACCATCATCTCTCACCTGCCCGACTACACCATCCTCCTCCCTTGTATTTACAATGGGGCCTCCTGCCACAGGGCCTTTGCACATGCCTGAGCCACTCAATCTCTCACCTGATTAATTCCTCCTCTTCTCCTCCTTCACTCTGCCACAGCAACATTTCCCTAGGGTAGCCCTCTATGACCCCCACCTCAAAGGTACAGACCAGATTCCTTGTTAAGGACACACAGAGTGGTATAATTGACACTGGAGACTTAAATGGGGGGAGGAAGGGAGGAGGAAGGGGTCAAAATTATCTACTGGGGACAACCTACACTAGTCAGGTGATTGGTACACTAAAAGCCCGGACTTCACCACTATACAATACATACATGTAACAGAATTCAGTGTGTACCCCCTAAATCTATTGAAATTTTTGTAGAAGAGTCCTTGTTAGACATTTTCATAGAACCACATCTCTCTTCCTTTGGACTATTCATCAAAATTTGTAGTGTTACATTCACTTGGTTGATAATGTGATCAATGGTTGTCTACACTTGTGCTGTCCAATAGAAATACAATGTGAGCCAATTACATAATTTCAAACTTGCTAGTAGCCACCTTTTTAAAAGTCAAAAGAAACAGGTAAAAGTCAATTTGAATATTTTTTATGTATCTCTATATACCTACAATATTATCATTTCTCTTTTTTTATTTCAGAATATGTAATCAATGTTTAAAAATTATTCATCGGCTATTTTACATTCTTTTCTTGAAGCAAGTGTTTGAAATCGGTGTGTGTTTTATACTTAATGGCACATCTCAGTTCGGACTGGCCACATTTCAAGCACTCAACAGCCACATGTGGCTTGTGGCTGCCATATTGGACAGTGGAAGTCTGGACACACACACACAAAGGCACACACATACTCCACAGCGACAGGGACTGAGTGTGCTGTGTTCACGATTCTACGAACCTCTCAGTACCTAGCTCAGTGCCTGGCAAAGATGGAGATGGGGTTGGTCTTAAGTTTGTGTTTAAGGATTGCGTTGGTGCTTCATATATGTAGCATGAAGCCAGGTGCCGTGGCTCACGCCTGTAACCTAGCACTTCGGGAGGCCTATGTGGGAGGACCACTTGAGGCCAGGAGTTCAAGACCAGCCTGGGCAACATAGTGAGACCCCATCGCTACGAAAAATAGTAAAATTAGCTGGGCATGGTGGCACACAACTGTAGTCCCAGCAACTCAGGAGGCTGAGGCAAGAGGATCGCTCGAGCCCAGGAGTTTGAGGTTGCAGTGAGCTACGATGACACCACTGCACTCTAGAGCAAGAGCAAGACCCTGCCTCAAAATATATGTATATATATATATGCATGGCACAAAGGAATGATTAAAAGCACTCACCATTTGCTTGCCACGCCATCTGCTGAAAGGTTAACATCTTCAGTTCTTCCACTACCTCCTGATCTATGAGGAGGAGTCTAGCTTGAGTCAAGGTCCTCCCACGCCCCGTCCCCAATCTCTCCCCTTGCCCCATCCTGGTCCTACTCACACTTAATCAGGGCCACCGCGAGACCGAGGCAGCCCAGGAGCAGTGATACCACCACCAGCACACACAGGCACACCACCAGTCTCTCCTGGCAGCACCCAGGACTTGCAGACTTCTGACTGAGCCAAGGCACTGGAGTTGCTGGAGGATGGGGGTGGGGACAGAGAGATTGACACCGAGAGTAAGGAAGGAATCCTTAAGCCTTCTTCCAAGAGCAGGGGCCAGAGCTCTGTAGTCATGACTATTGCACCAGACGAGGTCAACAA